CCCCCTGGGGGGCCAGCGCGGGGCCGGGGTGCGTGTCTCCGCTCTTCCTCAGCAACCGTGAGAACGAGACATTTTCAGTGAAGGGAGCCGCCCGCTGTGTGCGGCGGCAAGTCCGTCCTCTGCCTCCAGGTGTTGGGCTTAGAGTGACAGCTTTGGCTTTTTTGGTACTAGGGGTTGAAATTGGCTTTTGCACTGAGCTGCATCCCCAGTCCTTCAGATTTTGAGCTGAGTTGCCAGGGCTAGGCTTGAACTTGATCTTCCTCAGCGGTGTGCTCTGCCAGGGGCGACACGGCTTGGTTTACATGGACCCCGCAGGGGCCAGCTCCTCAGCGGCGCCCCTCCGCGCCCTGCTCCGCGGGGTGACCCTGAGGATGGCGACCCCGAGCGCCCGAGGGGAGAGGCGGTTGTGGGAGGGCATTTCCGGCCAGGCGCTGCGCCCTCTTGCGAGCCTGCGCGGGTAGCGCTCTGCCGGGCCAGCGTGCATGGGCGGCCCGGCCCGGCTCGGCTGCGTGCTGGCCGTGCCGCTCTGGGCCAGCTCGGCCTCGGTGCAGGGCTTTGCCCTGGAGAGGCAGCTGCTCGGCAGCACCTCACGAGGGTTGCTCTGTGAGGCCCGCTCGCTCTTGTGAGGCACTGCCCTCCTCCCGTGCCCGCCAGCGTAACGGGGTGGCCTGGGGCGCTTGTGCTGGGGGCCTCAGCAGGGAAGGAAGATCTCTGCTCGGTGTAATGGGATTCATGCTTTGGAAGAAGCCTTCAGGGTGAGGTGCGCCGTGGCGTGTGGGGCTGAGACCGCTCCAGGAAGGTGCACGTGCCGGCAGGAGGCTGCAGACCAGGGCCCCACACCCTGATGGCCAGGGGCTCGGCCGGCCCCCGACCTGTGTCCAGTCCTGCAGACAGGACCGCATTTCAGGAGCGGCGGGCGCCCCGCCAGAGCCCGCAGGGTGTGCTCTGTTACACAAAGGGCGCTTGGGCGCAGGCATCCTCCTTGGACGCGTTCTGCAACCCCGCTTCGTGTCTTCCATGTACACTTTCCGGGCCTGTTGGAGGTGTGTCCGCTGTCCAGCTCAAGTCTGGGGAGCAGGTGGTGGCAGCCTCCGGGAGCCCCGAGCAGCCACCGTGTACCTGGAGGAGTGGCGGGAAGCCACCCTGCCACGCCTGCTCTGACGCGCGCCTTCTCCCTTGCCTTGCAGTGGACATCCTCATCATGGATGATGACGACGTCCCCAGCTGGCCGCCCACCAAGCTGTCCCCGCCTCCCACGGCGCCCCCCGCCGGCCCCCCACCCCGGCCGCGGCCGCCAGCGCCCTACATCTGCAACGAGTGTGGCAAGAGCTTCAGCCACTGGTCGAAGCTGACGCGCCACCAGCGCACGCACACGGGCGAGCGGCCGAACGCGTGCACCGACTGCGGCAAGACCTTCTCGCAGAGCTCGCACCTGGTGCAGCACCGCCGCATCCACACGGGCGAGAAGCCCTACGCCTGCTCCGAGTGCGGCAAGCGCTTCAGCTGGAGCTCCAACCTCATGCAGCACCAGCGCATCCACACGGGCGAGAAGCCCTACGCCTGCCCCGACTGCGGCCGGAGCTTCACGCAGAGCAAGAGCCTGGCCAAGCACCGGCGCTCGCACAGCGGCCTCAAGCCCTTCGTGTGCCCTCGCTGCGGCCGCGGCTTCAGCCAGCCCAAGAGCCTGGCGCGCCACCTGCGGCTGC